AAAACTAAAAAAAAGTCTTGGTCACTTCACACTTAACGTTTTCTCTAAATGCCCCTCTGCTTTCCACTGGGAATATTTTGCACCGTCTGCCAAGCGACTTGGTTTAGTATGGAGTCAGGTCAGTCTGCAGATTTAGGACCAATCCCTCTAAAAAAAAAATTTCCAGGTATAAATTATGATGTATCCTACTCGCATTAGTTTCAAAATCGAGGAACTTCATGTGTTCCCACTCTAGAGAAAACTGGGGACTTGAAAAGTATGGTAGAAAGACAGTCTTGTTCTGGGTAGAGCTTTACTTGATAAAGGCCTACCCAGAGCAAAACATCGTGTATAAAAAAGGTTCGTTGTGCAGCAGTGTTCTCTCATGGAACCAGGTTGATCAGAAAGTTAAAAAGGTCGGGCCTCAAGCCAGGCTGCGAAGGTACACTTCAGCAAAATCTTCACTAATATGGGCTTAGTTTAGCGACTGTTTACTCTATGTAAATTCTATACTATTAAGTGGGCTGTGTACTGGAGACAGTTATGTTGTCGACTAAGAAAAAAAAATTGGCAACCAAATCTAACTCTCCTTAACCTAAATTAATTTTAAGTTAGGTTAGGTTACATTAGGTTACCAAAAAACAAAAAGCTTTCAATAAAACAAAGATATAACTTGCTACTTAACAAGTAGTAAACACAAGAACTGCAACACCATAGTATCATGGTACAGGGAGAGCTTTCTGTAATTCCTTTGTTAAACAACTACTGTATCCGTCTTAACATGTACAGAAAGTATGGCCGCATGACTTTTGTTTTAGGGTGACTACCACCTATCAAGCCTGATGGACTAACCACCTCAAAATTACTACCGTGTCCGATGTTGTATTCATCTAAAGAAGCCTGATGCGCAGGCGAAACGTTTCGGCAGTAGAGATACCCAAGTGTTGCACATTCAATTTATATATCAACTTGACGATTGCTATCTACAAACTTAACAAGACATGGAAGTAATATCTCCCTCGATGATTACTGTACAATTGAGCGAGTTCATGGCAAAAGGGTAGTTCCTCCTTGATAGGACGGTAGTATCTCCCTGACAGGTTGCTGATACTGTCCGCAGATCAAAAAGGCCATCACAACCTAACTGATCAGGCACTTGAGGCATACACAATTACTCTTTTGTTTCCCTCTGCTACATAAAAATCTTTCCAATAATTTATATACACCACAATATATTTTTCTACAAGCTTTGTTTACCTCAATGATTCATACCCGTGGCAGGTTTCCAGCGTTCTACCCTAGTCGTGAGGACTGGCTTCCTTACCTACTGCCTGGCTAATCAGGTTGTTGCTGCTAGCAGCCTTGGTCAATCATTTCATCCTTTGATAAACCTTATTCTACAGCCGACATGTTCAAGAATCTATATTTATAGGGATTTCAATACACATAGATGAATCGTAAGTCAAAAGATCACTGATCAATAAGACGCGCAACACCTGGGTATAGTCACTAGAAAGAACTTTTGCCAACCAGTGGCTTTTCCAGGTATGTCATCCATAATCTACAGAGGATATCTTCTACAATCCTATTGCTAACCGCGACTTCCTTCCACTGGTGGGTCCCGACCACCTGTGACAATGCCTTCAACTGCTGCACCTTCTGTGTCCATCCCCTGCCTCTACTTCAGACCGATCGAGACTAAGAGACTAAACACTTACCATAACTGAGATACATTGCTTCATATTTCAGTCTACTGGATAATCTGTGTATTGGTTTGGAAAAACATGTAAACAAACGTTAGGACATGTTTATTAGACAACGTTTCGGTCTTGGGACATCGGTCATTTTTCTAATCCAGAACCTTGATAATTTTTTTAATGTCTTAGTGTTTGCTTACGTGTTTCTAAGCCAATTTATCGGTACCTATTACCAAGGTTTATACCAATTTCTGTAGTGAACTGAAAAAAAGCTAGTGGTTAGGGAACGTGTTTTTAATCGATCCTCAGGTGTTGGTTGTGTGCTACATCAACTTGTCTGTTCTTTATACCATTAATGTAACAATTATTTTCCCAAATGTAACTAGCATTTGTAATAAAATTTTCATTTAAGGTAGTACAGGTTACATAAGTCTAAGTATATAAGGGTATTGTTTCACCACGTAGTGCCTTCTTCAGTCCAAAGCGAAGACTGATGGACGGAACACGTCGACTGCGGGACTGATTACCTCAAACTCCTCATCTTTCACCATTCTTTGCATTGGATATAATAGTATGGATCGGTTTATAAGTTTATTAAGCCCAATGTATGGGCGAAACTTTGCCAGTAAATGGCTGCACATAATTTCACGTGTTTCTCTACCACGCACTCAACTACTTGTTTTTAAGACAAGTGTACACAGAGGCACAATGTAAACAACTACAGTATGTGGGTGTACATACTTCATGACAATCCTAAGATTAATTCCCTACACGACCTGTTCTTGACTCACCAACTGTAGACCTGAGACCAAGAGTAATGTAGATAAATGGCTCAGAGAACCGACAAGTTCTTAAATGACACGTGTGCAACACTTAGGTATAAGAAAGACAACCCAAAGGACAAAGAGGAAAAGAGGAAAGGTTGTCTTCTAACTCTTGGTTCAAAGAATTTAAGTTACTTTTCCTTAGCTCGAAGCTGACTGCCCCGTTCTCCAGGTGCTATACGATCCTCTGAGAATGTAATTAATGATAAAGTTGAATGATGAAATGGAGAGTAGCTTCAATTCCTTGGATTAAAAGTCTATCGGCATCAAATCATCCCCATGAAAGGAATACAAAAGAAAGAACTACAGAAGGCTTACTGGGCCATGCTAGGCAAGTCTAACTCACGTACTTACCTAACCTGTTTTGAAAGCTACTAAAGGATTTAGCTTCAATGACGCTACTCGGTATTTTGTTCCACTTATCTGCAACTCCTATATATTTTATAAATCTAAATCTTTTCCAGCCTGAAGCCATTGGTGCGAGTCGTCTTGGATGTTTTTTAGCACGTTATCTACATCCCCTTTATTAATTCTTGTTTTCCATTTATACAGTCATTTTTTACCCACCGGCCGTCTCCCACCGAGGAAGGGTGACCCGAAAAAAACAACTTTCATAAAGTTTTTCTCTTTACATTTAGTAATTAATACAGGAGAAGGGGTTGCTAGCCCCCTTGCTTCAGTCGTTTTAGTAGCCTTTTACGACACGAATGGCTTACAGGGAAAGGATTATTCTCCACTTCCCTATAGAGACACCTCAGTCATATTTCACCTAATTCTACGTCTTTCCAGAGAGTGCAGATTCAGTGCCTGCAGGCCATGGTCACCAATAGCCTGACTGATCAGGCAGTCACCAGGAATAATGGTGACTGTCTACACATGCACCACAATTACCCACAGTGACGAACTGATGTATATTCACGATATAATTAAACCGGTATGGGTCTTATGGCTTATGGGAAGTGGTTGGTAATCAGGTTTAATCCAAAGGGAAATATACCTCTAATTTCTTTCATCAGGAGGGCTTCACCAATTTGTCTTACAGTCAACTGACAGATGGAAGCAGCGATCAGGGCAGCAACCCGGGAGCTTGTAGAACCGGGCCGCTAGAACAGTGACCCCTGGAAGTGACTACAGATAACTTGTAATAATGTTGGTAGAATTACCGGCGATGTGTTGGGTAAAAGGACACATGTGGAACTAATGTGACATTTCATTGTGGCAACGTTTCGCTCTCCAGGAGCTTTATCAAGCCGCTGCGCTTGACGAAGCTTCTGGAGAGCGAAAAGTTGCCACAAAATGTGCATTAGTTGCACGTGTCCTTTTAGCGATACCGTGAAGTTAAAGGTTCATATTGCAATGGTGTGTACCTTGTCACCTTACACACTCGTGATTCAACACAAGCTAATGTTTGTACATGTACCATCCCACTGTGTCCCGCCACTTCTAGGATTAAGGATGAGTGCATCAAAGAAACTAAAATGTGTATACTCAACAACACAAAGTCATAAGCGTAATTAGTGAACTTTCAACATCTGTGATACAGCACTTCATAATCACCGTCCAGTAAACAGGTTGTGTTGGCTACACTTTTCCGCCAGTAAACATGTGTTCCAGGTGTGGGTCATCATGTGACCAAGACCCGCGTCAGGAAACACTAGTCCTGTTTCCTGACAAACCTTACCTAACCTAAACATGTGTTGGCTACACTTCAACCTTCCACCAACAAACAGGTAGTAATGACTATACTTCGACCTTCTTCCGGCCAACTGAATGTGATGGCTATAACCAACGTACAAAACAACCACTGTGAAAAATAGAGAAATTCCAAGCGCTTTCGTGACTTTTCACATTATCAATGAACTATTTTTCACAGTTGTTGCTTTGCATATTGTGATATCACCTGTTTACTGTGGTCTTATTGCATAGCCAACATAAAACTTGAGCAAATATTTCTGTTAGTGGGTTTGGGTTTTGAGAAGGACCTGCCTAGTACGGGCCAATAGGCCTGCTGCAGTGTTATCCTTTCTTATGTTACGAGTTGTTGTGACTAAAATGAAGCAAAATCATAAATGCCACGTTACAGAAGTTCCTCGACACCCTCTCAGGTATACTATCTTGTCTAGGTTCTCTCGCGACTTCACATTTCGTAATGAGATGGCACATTATCGTGTATGTACGGTACTGCAAATACAATGATAACTGTTAGAGGTAAAGGATGCAGATAAGTAAACCAGAGCATGATATACCTATCATAACTTTGCCTGGTTAAATCACGCTATATTACAAACACCTGCAAGATAAGAACGAGTATTTAAACTAGGTACATCTTTCAGAACACTGCCTCATGTTTACACAAATTCACCGGAGTCGAGTAGCTAGCGTGTATACGTGAGTTCGTAAGTCTACAACAGCATCCATATACGAAGAGAGGAGAGGAGAGAGAGAGAGAGAGGAAGCCCAGGCAAACTGCATGCACTTGCTCCGCCTCACCCACACATACCACATACTTGGTACAGATACACGGCCTCTCATCTTCTGCATCACAGTTAATAAGCTTGGAAATGGAGTTTGAGAGCTCGATGACAGAGTCTATGGTGTCAGCCAGCAGCTCCGCCGCCACGTCTGATATAACATCCACAGTCGTGTCCCCCATCTGGAAGTGATCCTCTTCTTCCTCTTCCATCTGCAGGTCCTGGACGATGGGAGTCAGGGATATGGAGTCTTCTGAGGAATACATGGCAGGCAGAATATCCAGGGAGGAAGGTCTGTTGAGCTTCTCTTTTCTCTGGGACGGGTTGGAGTCTGCAATGAGTTCCTCTGGTGATACCGCAGTATCTGAAGGACCAGTGTTTACATGGTGATTTTGAGTTGATGAACGTGAGGCGGCGGGTGTGGATGGAACGCATGTTGCCATAGGCAGAAGGACGGTATGCACCACTTGCCAATATAGACTATGCCACAGTCTTATCTGCTGGGAATGAGTTACTACTCACCACCACGGACACGATCACCAACCACAAGAAAGAACCATAGATCAAACTCAATACCAGGCATTAATACAAACAAGTCTCTCACTACAGACACAGCCACTGTTTAATGTATCAGCGAGTGATAGACGCCAGCATGCAGTTTACTGAAGAATGCACACATGAGCGCCGGGCAACACAGCAAAGTGATCGGAAGCGATGCACAGTGAACCTGGAATGACGGCGAGCCTGCCTGGGCCAGCCACCGCAGTCCGCCTTAGTCGAACACTATCTTCTGCCCACGGCACTATCCTGCTCCCAAGACACTGCAGAGCCATAAGATGTGCTCCCGGGTGTTGAAGTGTTGAGTATGAGTGTGTAGGGGTGGCAGCGGTGGTGGTGGGAACCGCGTGCAGGCTGGAGGAATGACGGACGGCCTACATGAGTTCCGCTGAGCAACTGCCAGGGCTGTGGTGCCTCCACACAGCCGGCACTACTGACTGGAATACCGCGCCACCCTTACACGCCTTCCCTCCCTCTCTCCCCAATCCCTCCACATAACTCCACCCTCCCTGCTTCCCTAACATGCCGTCCCTATCTTCCCATACGTTTCACACAACTCAACTCATAACTAAAAAAAAACTGGGCTCAATTCCCAGGCAAGGAGACTTATATGGACAAGACTTCTTAAATCTGTTGCCCCTACTCACCTAGCAGTAAATACGCGAGTGACATCCTGGGAGGTGGTAGTATATCTTAGACAGGTCTGCGTTTTAAAACAAACCTTTTAATTCAGGTGTAAAAAATGGAAATTAAACCATTTGGCTAACATTAAATATCGTCTGTAGTGTATCCAGACACAGGTATCATACCACAACCTCAAATATTTTCGAAGTCAACGACGTACTACGCTGATAATGTTCACTTCTATATACCTGTGACAGGTTTCGAGTTTTACCCTGATGGCCAGAATAACCTGGCGACCACCTGATTCACCCACCCCTACCGGGTTATTAGTGCTACCGACCCGCGGTACCACATACTCATTACGACCCGGCTGATCAGGCACTTGCAAGACTGGTCCAGATTCCTTCTGAAAACGTCTAATCTGGTTCTGGTGATATTTCTTTTTCCAGCGATATTGCTGAAGTATAATAATGGTGAACAACTATAAATCCTAGTAGTCACTGCTACATGCATCGATGCTTCACCAGATATAAACAAGCCAACACAGCATGGATTTACAACAGGATGCTCCTGCATTTCACAACTACCCATTACGACATGGGTTTTAGGGAGACTGCGGGATAAGTGCTGATGCAATATATACAGACTGAGAAGACCTTTAACAAGGGTGATTTTGGTGGTGGTGGCGGCGGAATCAGTGTCATCTAACAGTGATTTTTGTGGAAATAAATGGTATAAATGACACGACGGAAAAATAAACACAGATGATACAATCTATCCAAACCTTGTCCACCTGACTTTCAATACTACGTACATGCTCATGTACTCTTTACCCAGGTAGACCTGTTTGTGACTTGATAAACTCCGCTGTGTGGCCGAAACACTGTCAATAAAGGATCGCCTTATACTGCACTTGTGTTTATATTTCCAAGGATCTCTGTCATAACATAACCGGTGCAATAACCAATCATTGACATGCGCTGCTACCGTAAACACTGCCCGTGCCTACTAATACACACGTGTTAGTAGACACGTGCAAAACACAGGTGTTGCACATGTTTAATTGCTCATGTCGAAAATTATATTAATTATTCACATGTGAATGTTACAGCCAGCTATCACTGCTGGTGACCTCTAGCTTACCAGTGATCTGACTGTGCACGGTGTAACACAAACACTGCTAGTGACCTCTAGCTTACCAGTGATCTGACTGTGCACGGTGTAACACAAAATACAATGCAAAGGATGTTTTCAAATAACCTCCACCCAAAAGGTAATAGTCGTCAAATAAATGAAATTAAAAGCTTCAAGGAACAGAACTCGCCCCTATCTTTTCCCATTCTCACATCTGACATCGACATGCAAATTACAGCACTGTAATATATCTGGTAGACAATATAAAAAATTACGTAGGAAGCATACAGGAACTTCAGACTTCCAAATTGATATAAACACTAATTCCTCTAGTGGACCACAGAAAACAATACGAAATTCATCTAAGATTCCAATGTTCTATTGTGGAAGTTAAGAATTAAAGACTGGAAGGGAACACTTAAACCGCTCGATCAAAGGGAAGAGGAATCAAGGGACGTATGGGTAGGTATTGCGTTTAAAACACACCTTAGCTTAAATGCAAGGAAAGTCGAAGGCTGGATAAGAAGAACCTTCAAAACAAGTTGAAGGCTGGATAAGAAGAACCTTCAAAACAGAAGTTGAAAGCTGGATAAGAAGAACCTTCAAAACAAGAGACGCCAAGTCTATGATGATACTCGTTAATGCACTTGCGCTCTCCAAACTGGATTATTGTTGCTATGTTAAAGAGTTTTATCATCCAATACCTTGATCAAGTTGTAAGACTTGATTAAGTTCTAATCGAGCTAAACTTTGTCACCGTAAAATCTTGTTTTGCAGTCCGTGTTTTTCCTTCACTGGCGAAATTAGACCTGGAAAACGTACAGAGAACCTTCTATAACAGCATCAACTCGAACACCACAACGCCTAAAATTACTCAAGCTGTACTTGAGTAATTTTAGGCTAAACCGTAATGTGTAGCTTGAGTATACTGGAGTGCCTGGTTAATGTAAGGATCCAACATGCACTCGGCAGGTCCCTAGCACACAAGAATGGTCCACGCTAGGTAGGTCAAGTTCACACCCATTCATACAGGCAAGGTGTATTTAAAGCACATACAATGAGCAGCAGAGGTGCGATAAATACACCAAGAGAGAACTCGATGAGCATAAATGGTCTACGGCTTTTTAACATTATTTCAATTACAAGGGAATTACCGCCTGTCTTCCTGAGAAGTTTTGATAGATACCTTCAGTTTGTAATCAGCCTGACCTTAGTGTCTACGTTGGACTGCCAGCAGTGAGCACCAACAAGCTGACATAGCAGGCCAGGTGTGAGTGTAAGACAGGGGTCAATGATCCTGGCTACCATAAACAGACAACCAAGTAAACACCATACATGTGACACTTGGCACTATGCCACACCTACGTTACGTAGGGCTTGCCCATGACACAAATAGTTATATGCACACCTATTCAGTAGCAACAACAGACAAACAACGACTGCTGCTGTATAAATTCTAGTCTTAATTTCAGTAGTTTGTTTAGAAAAAGAATTATGATAATGAAGTCGTCATATTAAAGTGTTTGAGAATGCAAAAGAAATAAATTATAACCAAAAAGCTTAGTGGTACCCGTAAATGGTTGATTTATAGATTCACATAGTGTAAACTGCGGGCGTGTGGCTAGTCGTGTGTCTCAATCCACTTACACACACACACACACACATACACACACACATAACTTGCAAGTAGTAAGTTATGTAGTGTATAATACACTTCAAAAAAGTACCATGTCAATTGCGTTCAATAACGCTGCATTATTGATAATTCATTAATATATACTGTACTCTCGTGTGAAGGCTGCGCCTCCTTGCATCCCTCCCCTTCATATCTTGACATACCCAGCTGGATGAAGTACACCCCTCCCTCCGTGCACACCCAGCTGGATGAAGTGCACCCCTCCCTCCGTGCACACCCAGCTGGATGAAGTGCACCCCTCCCTCCGTGCACACCCAGCTGGATGAAGTACACCCCTCCCTCCGTGCACACCCAGCTGGATGAAGTGCACCCCTCCCTCCGTGCACACCCAGCTGGATGAAGTACACCCCTCCCTCCGTGCACACCCAGCTGGATGAAGTGCATCCCTCCCTCCGTGCACACCCAGCTGGATGAAGTGCATCCCTCCCTCCGTGCACACCCAGCTGGATGAAGTACACCCCTCCCTCCGTGCACACCCAGCTGGATGAAGTACACCCCTCCCTCCGTGCACACCCAGCTGGATGAAGTGCATCCCTCCCTCCGTGCACACCCAGCTGGATGAAGTGCATCCCTCCCTCCGTGCACACCCAGCTGGATGAAGTGCATCCCTCCCTCCGTGCACACCCAGCTGGATGAAGTGCATCCCTCCCTCCGTGCACACCCAGCTGGATGAAGTACACCCTTCCCTCCGTGCACACCCAGCTGGATGAAGTGCATCCCTCCCTCCGTGCACACCCAGCTGGACGAAGTACACCCCTCCCTCCGTGCACACCCAGCTGGATGAAGTGCATCCCTCCCTCCGTGCACACCCAACTGGATGAAGTACACCCCTCCCTCCGTGCACACCCAGCTGGACGAAGTACACCCCTCCCTCCGTGCACACCCAGCTGGATGAAGTGCATCCCTCCCTCCGTGCACACCCAGCTGGACGAAGTACACCCCTCCCTCCGTGCACACCCAGCTGGATGAAGTGCATCCCTCCCTCCGTGCACACCCAGCTGGATGAAGTACACCCCTCCCTCCGTGCACACCCAGCTGGACGAAGTACACCCCTCCCTCCGTGCACACCCAGCTGGATGAAGTGCATCCCTCCCTCCGTGCACACCCAGCTGGATGAAGTATAACAGTATAAAATGAATAAAAAATCGAAGGTAATGAATAACAGGAGCAATATACACTGATAAATAGTGACGAAAACACAGTGGAGGTCCATGAATTTGTATCTTTCTTTGCCAATAAACATGAGGACAGATGAGAGACGGGAAGTGTAGACGGTAGAGAGAGAGAGAGAGAGAGAGAGAGAGAGAGAGAGAGAGAGAGAGAGAGAGGAGAGAGAGAGAGAGAGAGAGAGA